TCTTGCCAAGTTGCCCAGGTGGGTCTCGAACCCACAGGCTCAGGCAATCCACTCACCTCAGCCTCCCAAGACGCAGGATTACAGGCTGAGCCACCGAACCCGGCTATAAAATACTTTATTTACTTTCCTATTCAGGAGGAAAGAAATATCATTTTTTAATTTGCCATGTAATGTTTAAGCATATGCAAGAATAGAATCATATGTATAATGAATACACATATACCCATTACCCAGCTTCAGCAGTTACCAAACATGGCCAATCTTTGTTGGTATATCTTTTTTTTTTTTTTAGTCGAAGTTTTACTCTATTGCCCAGTCTGGAGTGTAGTGGCATGCTCACAGCCACCCCAGCATCGACCTGCTGGGCTTAGGCGATCCATCTGCCTCAGCCTTCCAAGTAACCGGAACTACAGGCGTGTGCCACCATGCCCAGCTAATTTTTTATTTATTGTAGAGACAAGGTCTTGCCAAGTTGCCCGGTCTGGTCTCGAACCCATGGGCTCAGGCAGTCCATTGCCTCGGCCTCCCAAAGTGCTGGGGTTACAGGCTGAGCCTCCAAGCCTGGCCTCATAATATCATTTTATTGAAGGTATGTAGTCTCAGATTGCAATTGAGAGAATTAATCAGTAGGTACAAAAACTTTTTTTTAACCTGAAGATTGTAGAATCTCTATTTTTATCATTATTTGAAGGTATCACATCTTTGTTAGAAGGTAGTTCTGCCTAGATTTAATAAACTGGATCTAATAAACAGTCAACTCTTCATGATTTTTTTTTTTGAGTTGGAGTCTTACTCTGTCACCCAGACTGGAGTGCAGTGGCCGCTCCCGACCACCGCAGCCTCGCCCTGCTGGGCTCTGGCAATCCTTCCACCTCAGCCTTCCAAGTAGCTGGGAACCTGAACATTTATCACAATAGCACAAGAGAGGGGATCTGCAGTTACAGGACACTGTATGGGGCGGGGGAGGGGGGAGTAATATGTAACAACACAGTGTACCTGGTCCTAAACCAAGGGAAGTAAGGACCAGTTGAAAGCCTAAACCTAAACTTCACCTGCATGTAGATTACTTAAGTATCTAATCCTGGCTTATACCCCACATCTTTATAATAAGATGAAGTTTTTAAAAAATACGCTTTTTAGCCGAGCACGGTGGCTCGCGCCTATAATCCCAACGCTTTGGGAGGTGGAGGCATGAGAATTACCTGAGCTCAGGAGTTTGAGAACAGCCTGAGCAACATGGCGAGACCTCATCTCTACAATAAATCAAAAAATCAGCCAGGCATGGTGGTGCATGCCTATGGTTCCAGGTACTTGGAAGGCTGAGGCTGAAGGATGGTCTGTGCTCAGCAGGTCAAGGCTGCCGTGGCCTTGACCGTGCCACTGTACTCCAGCCTGGGAGACAGATTGAGACTCCAGCTCAAAAAAAAGAAATTGAGGCATATAATCCCTTGTCTGAAATCCTTAGCAAATATATTTGGAATTCAGAATTTAGGGGATTTTAGAAAAGCAATGTAGTACAAATTTCTTATATCCATGTAGGAAATCTGGGGCAATACCATGAAATCTATAGTCAAACACATTAATATATCTGTAATGTTATGTCTGAATATTCATACTGCATTGTCTATATAGACTGTAAGTAGCCTCACATAAATTCAATCAGTTTTGTCACCAGATTAGTTTGCCACAAATTTACGTTCTTTCAGAACTTTTTGGATTGTAAAGTTATAGATAAAGGGATCGCACATGTTATGTGATATGTTGAATATGTGGACATTCTGTAGTCCGTGTTAAATCTATATACACATTTTGAAGTGATTTAGTGATAAGTTTGAATGAAAATATTTTCAGTATTTCAGATCAGAGATTGTTGCCCATAGCCATATGGTGAGATGGATTATTAGGCTATGACCAGGCTTAGTGAGAAAGAGCCATAATTAATTATTTATATCTGTCATGGTTGTACATGTGCAAAGTAGCAACATATTTACCAGATATTTGTTATCCCTAGTGCATCTCATGAAGATAATATTTTTGGCTCTTTCTACTCCAGTTTTTTGTACTCCAGTTTACACATGTATGCCTTCTTGATATCACAGTGCATTCCAAGTCCAATTTGTTCAAAGATAAGTCTGTCTCTTCAGGAAGATATAAAAACAGTATAAGCCGGGCTCGGTGGCTCAATCTGTAATCCCACGCCTTTGGGAGGCTGAGGTGAGTGGATTGCCTGAGCCCGCGGGTTCGAGACCCGCCTAGGCAGCGAGACCTCATCTCTACAATAAATCAAAAAATCAGCCAGGTGTGGTAGCGCACGCCTGTAGTTCCAGCTACTTGGAAGGCTGAGGCGGAAGGACTGTTGGAGCCCAGTAGGTCAAGGCTGCGGTGGCCGGGAGCGGCCACTGCACTCCAGTCTGGGTGACAGAGTGAGACTCCAACTCAAAAGAAAAAACAAAACAGTATGATACCTTTGCAGCAGATATAATCTTCCCCTATTTTAAAATTAACCTTTGCCGGGCTCGGTGGCTCAGCCTGTAATCCCGCGCCTTTGGAAGGCTGAGGTGAGTAGATTGCCTCAGTCTGCGGGTTCGAGACTCGCCTGGGCAACTTGGCGAGACCTCATCTCTACAGTAAATCAAAAAATTAGCCGGGCGTAGTAACGCGTGCCTGTAGTTCCAGCTACTTGGAAGGCTGAGGCAGAAGGATCGCCAGAGCCCAGCAGATCAAGGCTGCGGTGGCTGGGAGCAGCCACTGCACTCCAGTCTGGGGGACAGAGTGAGACTCTGACTCAAAAAAAATTAAATTAAATTAAATTAACCTTTGACAGGTCTACATAATTGCTGTACAAAGACATAAAAATTATAAACAACCTTTGAAGACTGCCACCTGTGTTGAAGAAAGTATCAGAAATGAATCATATTCGTCAGATGGATTGCTTGACTTGGTTTACACAGATCTTGGCACACTAAGTAGACTCTGGCTTGCTGCACTTCAGGATTTTGCTCTCTTAACTTTGCCCTCAGAATTTGCCTCCCAACTTCCTGCTGAAGGTAAGAAGATAAAATGTTTAATAATTCCTAAAATGCAATTGCTTTTATTTTCAAAACTTCTTCTTCAGAAGGTAATGTTTTTCTCAAACATTTCCTCAAGAATAGTTTTGATTTTCAAAGTAAGTATGCAAGATTTACTTTAGGGGGCCAGACACAGTGGCTCATGCCTGTAATCCCAGTACTTTCGGAGACCGAGGTGGGAGAATTGCTTGAGCCCAGGAGTTCAAGACGAGCCTAGGCAACATAGCAGGATCTCATCTCTAAAAATTAAAAAATAAAAAATAAATTAGCCACTTGTAGTGGCACATGCCTATAATCCCAGCTACTTGGGAGACTGAGGTGGGAGAATCACTTGAGCCTGGAGTTCGAGGCTGTGGTGAGCTATGTTCACAACACTACACTCCATCCTGGGCAGTGGAGTGAGTCCCCAACTCAAAAACAAACAAAAAAAAGTTGCTTTAGGTTAAACACCCAGAAGTTTATTCACAAGGCCTTAAGGCATACATATTTTACCTCACAAATTACTCTCCAAAGTGGTTGTAATAATTTATATACCTACCAGTACCATGTTTTTTTTTCTCCACACCTTTCCAACATGATATATTATCATACTTAATAAGTATTGCTGATCTGATGGGTATGAAATTGTATTCCATAGTTTTATTTCCTTGAATGAGAATCTTTAAGTTGCTTCTCCCATAAATAATCTAGTCATAGTCTTTGCCCATTTGCTGTTTGGTGTTTGTCATTTTCTTACGGGTTATCCTTTAAATATAGATAAAATTCATCCTTTATATATACATATAAATATATATGTGTTGGCCGGACTCGGTGGCTCAGCCTGTAATCCCAACACTTTGGGAGGCCGAGGTGAGTGGATTGCCTGAGCCCGCGGGTTCGAGACCCAT